CAGGTGAGGAGATGGTGACGTCATTTCCTCTTCCTCGCTGTTTCTCTCCTCCTCTTCCTCTTCCTCCTTATCTCCCCCTCCCTCAATCCGTGCGATCTGATTGGCCGTCTCCAGGAGGGCGGGTCCAAACGGCTCTGACGGACAGGACTCGTCGTCGATGGTGACGATGGCGACGCTCACCTCCTCTTCGTCTTCCTCTCTTCCTCGGCACAGAGAGGAGGAGGAGAGGAAAGGGAAGGAGGTGAGGGAGGAGGAGGCGAAGATGGGAGTGTGTCCATTTATTACTTTGCCTGCCTTCATCTCCTCCTCCTCTTCCTCTTCTCTCCTCTCTTGATGCTCGTTGTCCATTTGTTCGTCACAGCTGATCAGAGAAGCATCCCTAAAAACAAAAGGATCAATATCAAAACATGAATACTTTTACTGTATTTTGATGAGAATACTTTTCTACTTTCACTTGAGGAACATTTTGAATGCAGGACTTTTACTGTAACAGAGTATTCCTACACTCTGGTACTTCTACTTTTACTCAAGTACAAGATCTGAGTACTTCTACTTTTACTCAAGTACAAGATCTGAGTACTTCTACTTTTACTCAAGTACAAGATCTGAGTACTTCTACTTTTACTCAAGTACAAGACCTGAGTACTTCTACTTCTACTCAAGTACAAGACCTGAGTACTTCTACTTTTACTCAAGTACAAGACCTGAGTACTTCTACTTCTACTCAAGTACAAGACCTGAGTACTTCTACTTTTACTCAAGTACAAGACCTGAGTACTTCTACTTTTACTCAAGTACAAGATCTGAGTACTTCTACTTTTACTCAAGTACAAGACCTGAGTACTTCTACTTTTACTCAAGTACAAGATCTGAGTACTTCTACTTTTACTCAAGTACAAGACCTGAGTACTTCTACTTTTACTCAAGTACAAGATCTGAGTACTTCTACTTTTACTCAAGTACAAGACCTGAGTACTTCTACTTTTACTCAAGTACAAGATCTGAGTACTTCTACTTTTACTCAAGTACAAGACCTGAGTACTTCTACTTTTACTCAAGTACAAGATCTGAGTACTTCTACTTTTACTCAAGTACAAGACCTGAGTACTTCTACTTTTACTCAAGTACAAGATCTGAGTACTTCTACTTTTACTCAAGTACAAGACCTGAGTACTTCTACTTTTACTCAAGTACAAGATCTGAGTACTTCTACTTTTACTCAAGTACAAGATCTGAGTACTTCTACTTTTACTCAAGTACAATATCTGACTACTTCTACTTTTACTCAAGTACAAGATCTGAGTACTTCTACTTTTACTCAAGTACAAGATCTGAGTACTTCTACTCAAGTACAATATCTGACTACTTCTACTTTTACTCAAGTACAAGATCTGAGTACTTCTACTTTTACTCAAGTACAAGATCTGAGTACTTCTACTTTTACTCAAGTACAATATCTGAGTACTTCTACTTCTACTCAAGTACAATATCTGACTACTTCTACTTTTACTCAAGTACAATATCTGAATACTTCTACTTCTACTCAAGTACAATATCTGACTACTTCTACTTTTACTCAAGTACAAGATCTGAGTACTTCTACTTTTACTCAAGTACAAGATCTGAGTACTTCTACTTTTACTCAAGTACAATATCTGAGTACTTCTACTTCTACTCAAGTACAATATCTGACTACTTCTACTCAAGTACAAGATCTGAGTACTTCTACTTTTACTCAAGTACAATATCTGAGTACTTCTACTTCTACTCAAGTACAATATCTGACTACTTCTACTTTTACTCAAGTACAAGATCTGAGTACTTCTACTTTTACTCAAGTACAAGATCTGAGTACTTCTACTTTTACTCAAGTACTTCTCCCACCTCTGTTAAAATGGACTTAAAAGTAACTAAAACTGACAGAAAGTTCATGTAGTAAAAAGCAAAACGCTAATAGTTCAGTAAATTACTTTAAACAGGATTTGTACTGGCAGTGGAATATTTTCACAGTACTGGTATTCAAGTAAATGATCGAAATACTTCATTTCCCTCTGTGTATAGTACTCTGCAGTATCTCCGTGTTATTTACAATATGTCTGTTCAAAGTGTCCCGTTATTCAGCGGTTGACCCCTAACCTTTCAGAAATTCCCCAAACAGAGGAACATATTCTTAATTAAGACATCAACGTTGTCCAACAGACCAAACTCACCTTTTCAAAACACTGTTTATCTCCAGTTTCCTCGGACTTTAAACTTTAAAACTCCTGAATACTCGTGTCTTTGTAATGCATGTCTTCCCGCTAGCTTCTATATTTCAGTTTCACATCCAACTGAGTGACTTTATGTTGAATTTCACTTCTCTATGTTTGTGTTTTTGAACTTTTTTCATCACAAACTCAAACTCAACTAATCGCCTCTTCGCTGTTGCACATGGAGCTTTGTTTGGCGCGCGCAGATGACGTCATACCCCCCCCCCCCCCACCTTGGTGATTTATATACGTTTTCTTTTTGTAGTCCATGTTTTATTTCATTCTACAAAATGTTGTTATGAAGAATCAAACACGTTAATTATTTTGAGTTAATTTGTATTTCGGAAATGTAAATACTCGCAGGATGATGAATGAAATTATTAATATCATGTCATTTTTATTAACTAATGCCCAAAATAATACACATCAATTATCCTAATTGTATTTGTAATGCAGTAATTTGAATACTGGCACGATAAGATATTAAAAATTAATATTTTATTATTAGTTTTAAGAACTCAATCCAAAATAATAATCACAGTTAGTAGTCCTACATGTAAATGATTTATAGAAACATAATAAAATACCAATGTGTGTGTGTGTGTGTGTGTGTGTGTGTGTGTGTGTGTGCGTGTGTGTGTGTGTGTGTGTATGCATGTGTGTGTGTACGTGTGTTTATGTGTGTGTACGTGTGTGTGCGTGTATGTGTGTGTGTGTGTGTGTGTCATTCACAGCAAGGAGATAATTTGCACAATGTCGCCCCCTGCTGGTTGCTAGGCGTCTTCTACTCCAGTTCAATATATTTGAACATTAGCAGTCAAAGGATTTATAGAAAAATAATCAAATACCAACAATACTTATTTTGAGATACTTGTACTTGAGTATTTTTTACTACTTTTCTATATATACATATGATTTGTTTTAACGTTGTGATATCTTTACATGAAGAAAAAAGGCTTTATTATGCAGTGTTAATAATCTAATTATATGTAAACAAAAACAAAATCAGACATTTTTTAAACGATCTCTGGTGAACAGAAACAAAGAGCATGTTTAAGGAATAACACTTTATTAATTAGTACATAGATGATATATTTATATATATTTCAGCTTCATACGTACATAAATAGGAACATAAACATACAAATATCATCATATAAACAAACTTGGCACTTATCCCAGACACTGTCGGAGGAACATTAAATATCCCCTTCATGATTTTCAGTGATTTAACATTTTAATTTAATTAAAATACGCTTACTATTTAAATCAGGCCACATTTACACAGATTTCTGATCTGGGTTAGTGAAGTTAAAAGTGCATAATCCAAGTTTAAGACGTTAAAGTAAGGGGTTTTAATCAGGACGAAACACAGCTGGGATTCAGTCACCAGAAACGTTTTAAATCTCATTATATATTTATGGATGCAGACATTTATTTCCATTCCTTAATATTCCCCTGGAGAAATGAGTGGTTATGTGGCTGGTTGTTTTTTAATAATTGTTGTATAAAAAGGATAATTTATGCAGCATTATTGGTGTTTGTGTTTGTAACCAAGGACAGAAGAAGTGGCTTTGTTGACATACACAAAATACTCCAGACTTGGACTTTTTTTCTTGAATTATATTGAATTTCTTTATCTGAAACGTTCGACTTGCCTTTGAATCTTCCCGCTGAATTATTAGGACCAAATATTTCAACTTTTTCTATGAAATTAATACAAATGTGAGAAAAAAACGTGTCTAAATATTTTAAGTTTTGTCCGATTTTTAAGACTTTTTCTCTCTCAGACTTTGCTCACATTTCTTTACCTCCAATTTCCTTTCTCCAAAAGAGATGTTCTCCTCTCTGTTTTCTGATTTTTTTTAAAGAGGCCATCGTTTACACACCATTCACACACACTTTATCACTAAAAACATGCAGAAAATGCACTTTTACTGCAGGGTTTTCAAATTGTTTAGTGATACAAAGAGACTCCCTCGGTTAAATCCATTGACTCTAATATGTCGACAAAATGAAACAGGAAATTTGAACCCCACTTTATCCGATGCTCACATTTCTGTTCTGGGAATGTATGAAATAAGCCCATATTTTACGAGTGAATGCCTCATTTGCATATTCAAATATCAAATTTCAGAAAACTTGTAATACAAAAAATGATATCCTTAATGTAAGTAACCAACCAGGGAAGTTTCATGCTGATATCTAAAAGTTACATTTTTACCCTATTCACCTTCATCGTATCCAATTCTGAATATTGTCGTTTTTTGAATTTTGAAATATTATTGTGCATGTGAACGTAGCCACTTCTGACTCCTATTATTAGCATATGTTATCTCCAGGTCGGTTTGCTGGATTTTCCCGAGTCTCTTGAGTACGTCGACTTCTCGGAGAAAGTGCCGCTGTCATTCCTCCGATGGCCTTTAGGGGGCGATACTGAGTCGCGAATTGGCGCTCTGATGCTCTGAAACCTCTTTAAAGGGGACGAAGAGGAGGACGGTTTGAGGGAATCTGAGGATCCAGAAGTGACGGAAACTCTTAAAGATCCAGTTCTAGAGAAAGGCGATGGAGACGGTGTTTGTCTGAAGGAAGAGGAGGCGGTGTTTCGAGTAAATCCTGGAAACGGCGACGAAGAAGTAGAAGAAGAAGTAGCGGGTTTGTGCAAAGGAGTAACCGGAGCACTGATGCTACCACTTGCTTGAGAAAGCGCTCGAAGAGTTGAGCGACACATCTTTTCTTCTGGAGGTGCTTTGGGTTTAGCCAATGGTTTTCGGATGGACGGTTGCTTTATTTGCAAGTTCTGGTTCTGGGGGTCTCTGGAAACTTTGTGGTCCTTGTGGTCTTTGTGGTCCTTGTGGTCTTTGTGGTCTTTGTGGTCTTTGTGGTCTTTGTGGTCTTTGTGGTCTTTGTGGTCAACGCTCGTTCGGCGGGATGAAGGCGCGGTCGATGGTTTCCGGAAAGAAGAGCTTTTTATGTTGGTCAAATTGGACGGTTTCCTTTGCAAGTCCTGGTTCTGAAGATCTCGAGAAACCTTCTGGTCTTTCTGGTCTTTTTGATCAACGCTCGTCCGACGGGAAGAAGGCGCGGTCAATGGTTTCCAGAAAGAAGAGCTTTTGAGATTGGTCAAACTGGACGGTTTCTCTTGGCGCTTGGTCCTTGAGATCGGCACAACTCGTCTCATGCTGAAGTTCTCGGAGTTCGTGAGGGTTCGAACCGGATTAGATTTGTTGGAGTTTGTGGTTTGTTTGATCCCAATTGGTCGAGTTTTAGAGGTAGGGAGGTTCTTATTGGATGAATAATTTCCCGATTCTGCCTTTCCTGACTTTGCCTTTGACTCCACTTTTCTCTTCTCGTTGGCTACTTCTTCGATAGCAGGCACTTTATTGGTGGCGCTATCTGTTGGGCGCCACCTAGGGGAAGAGGCCGGATGTGAGGCAGGCACCGGTTGGCTGCTGATGGGTTCAGGCACTGGCTTCTCATTGGCCGACTGAGCTTCAGAAGGCGTTCGATTGGCTGGGTAAGAAGAAGGTTGTTTGTCGCTTCTAGATTGATCCGTTTGTGCGTTTTCAGCGTTGGTTGGTTCATCGGCCGCCTCACAAACACCCGTCACGCACCAAACCACCACCGTATCCTCTCGACCCTCCTCTTCCTCTCTTTGTAACGAAGAATTTTCCAGTTTCTGGGAGTTCTTCTGGTCTGGGAACACATCATCCTGGACGCCACTCGTGGTGTTTTGGGTACCCGTGTCAAACACTCTCAGTTCAGGCACCAATTTGCATTTCTCTAAAACAACAGACATGTTTGCCAAAGAGCGTTCAAACTTCTCGTCACTGCGATCAGGAAAATCCAGTTCGTTCTTTGCAAGTTCCCCTTCAAAACCACCACGAAAGTCCGAATGCGCCCCAAGTTCTTGTCGATGTTTGCCGTTGTTGTTGTTGTGGTCGGATTGCTGGTTCGGATCGGAGGTAGATTCGACTTTGTTTACCCGAGTCTGGGTAGCATTAAAGCTGAGGTAATTGGCGGTTGTATGGTTGGCGTTTTGTGCACTTTTCGGAGGCGAGGAGGCGGTTTGCGGTTTCCCCGCTTGAGGCTGCTGGTTTTGGGGGAAGGGTCCTGGACTTCTAATTTCGGGGAAAACTGATGGAAAAGCTGCCTCTTTGCGTTCATTGTTCATCCCGAGTAACGTGCTAAGCTCGCGGTCTGCAGTGAGAAAAGGCGAACTGGACGGAGAGTTTCTGGAGCGTCGTAAGCTTCCCGAACGCCCCAAAGCATTGTGGGAGTTGTTGAGGGGCGAGCGGGGGCGGGACCTCAGGGTCAGGAGGTCCAATAGCAGCCCGGCGTCGTCGTGGCGCGACACGGCGGAGGACATGTCCGTCTCGCTGCTGCAGCGCAACCTGAACGCTCCACCGACCTGAAACAGAAACACAAGCATTAGTGAAGCAGTGTGTATCAGCAGTGTGTATCAGCAGTGTGTATCAGCAGTGTGTATCAGCAGTGTGTATCAGCAGTGTGTATCAGCAGTGTGTATCAGCAGTGTGTATCAGCAGTGTGTATCAACAGTGTGTATCAGCAGTGTGTATCAGCAGTGTGTATCAGCAGTGTGTATCAGCAGTGTGTATCAGCAGTGTGTATCAGCAGTGTGTATCAACAGTGTGTATCAGCAGTGTGTATCAGCAGCAGAGGTCGCGTCAACCGAATATTTTCCGTCTATGACGGAATTTTTCCAAGAATGACGGAAAAATCTGAAAGCAGTCCGTCATTTTGACAGATTAGAACACAACTCGGAACAGCGCCAAAATGTCCACCAGCGGCCCACATTATATTACATCCTTAGTGGCCAGGTCGACTGAGGGAGAATGTCTATAAATATATATAGATACATTTTCATAACAAAACAATGGGGTTGCTAAGCCGTTGCTAGGCGCCGCCCCTGCCTCGTTGTTTAACCGGCTTTAGCAATCACAAAATGTCACGGCAGCTGAGTGCTCGAAGCTTTTTTAATAAGCACAGTAATTGTGATGGTGTGGATAAACAAGGTGAAAAAAGAGGGATTGATGCAGTGGAGGATGAAGGACAAGCCAGTAAGACTAAAACTGACAACGTTCAGCCAGCAGCAGAGGGACAAGCAAGTGGCAAGGAGTTGAAGCAGGAGTACCGGGTTCAGTGGGAGCAAGAGTTTAAGTGGCTGAGGAGGGAAGATGGCAAAATGTTCTGCGACATCTGTAGAAAAGCTAAGATGAGTAACGGATTT